GCGGGCCCAAGGACCGAGCCCTGGGGGACTCCGCTGCCCACTTCCCCCCAAGTCAAATATGACCCGTCCACCCACCATCCTCTGAGTACAACCCTTCAGCCAATTCGCAATCCATCTGACTGTGTAGGCATCGATGCCACAGTCGCCTAGTTTTTTAATGAGGATGGGGTGGTCGACAATATCAAAGGCCTTGCTGAAGTCCAGAAAGACTACATCCACGGCGACACCTGCATCCAATGCTTTTGTGACCTGATCGTAAAAGGCAATCAGGTTGGTCTGACATGACCTGCCCTTAATGAAACTGTGCTGGTTGCCCTTGAGCATCATCCCCGATGCCAGCCCATCAAAGATGTGCTCCTTGATGATCTTCTCAAAGAGTTTCCCCAGGATTGAGGTAAGACTGATGGACCTATAGTTGTCTGGGTCCTCCCTCCTCCCTTTTTTAAAGATGGGACCACATTGGCTATCTTCCAATCATCTGGCACCTGGCCCGAGCACCACGTGTGCTCGTAAAGCCGTGCCAAGGGCCCTGCAATAACACCTGCTAGCTCCCTCATCACCCTTGGGTGGAGAGCATCTGGACCTGCTGATTTGCTCACCTCCAGTAGGGAAAAGGGCAGGGGAGAGCAGGGGTAGAGAGGTGGTTGCAATTTCAGAGGGAATGGAGGTGGGAGAGAAGAGAGCACAGGGGCCTGGCAGAGCTCTGGCCCCATCCCAGCCTGGTAGCAGTGGCAGCAGTTCTAGCCCAGGGTCCAGCTCCTGGCCAGAGCTGCTGCTCCAACTGTTGCATTGCAGGGCTGGAGCCTTGCTGGATCTGGAGGATAAACAGTAGTGAGGGAAAGGTGAGGAGCGGGGGCAAAGGCTTTGGGGAGCAGATGCCAAGAGATGCAGGCATGAGAGGGCATGTAGTGGGGAGGCAGGTGCTGGAGTGTGCTGGTAGCAGAGGGGGCAAGTGCTGGGAGAAACAGGCAGCAGGGTACAAGGTATGGGAGAGGGCAGAGGTCATGTTACTTGACTCCCATTGCCTCCCTCCCCACTGCCTGCTCCCCTGCCACTGCTTTCTCCATTGCAGTGGTGAGGGGGACAAATTTAAGACAGGCTTCCAATAATTAAATTCTATATATAGAATAATAGAAAGTTAGGGTTGGAAGAGACCTAAGGAGGACATTTAGTCCAACCCTCTGCTCAAAGCAGGCCCATCCCCAACTAGATCATTCCAGCCAAAGCTTTGTCTAGCCAGTTCTTGAAAACCTCCAAGGATGGAGAGTCCTGCGTCTCTCTGGGTAACCTGTTCATGTTTTACTATCCTCCTCATGAGAAAATTCTTCCCAATATCTAACCTCAACTTCCCTTGCTGCAACTTGAGATTGTTGCTCCTTGTTCTGTCATCTCCCACCACTGAGAATAGTCTAGCTCCATCCTCTTTCAAATCACCCTTCAGGTAGTTGAGGACTGCTATTAAATCCTCCCTGTCTTCTCTTCCCTTCACTAAATAAGCCCAGTTACCTCAGCTTGTCCTGAAAAGTCATGTGCCCTAGCCCCTTCATATTTTTGTTGCCCTTCGCTAGACTCTCTCCCATTTGTTTCTGAGTCCAATGATGTAGCCAGTTTTCTATCCACCTTACAGACCATTCATCCAGCCCGTACCTCCTTAGCTTGCCTGCAAGGATGTTGTGGGAAACCACATCAAAAGCCTTGCTAAAATTAAGGTACACCACATCCATTAGTCTCCTTGCATCCACAGAGCCAGTCTGTAGTTCCCTGGATTCTCCTTTTTCCCTTTCTTAAATATGGGCACCATATTTGCCCTTTTCCAATCATCCACAACCTCTCCCCATCTCCATGAGTTTTCAAAGATGATGGCCAGAGGCTCTGCAGTCACACCAGCCAACATCCTCAGCACCTTCGGATGCATCCCTGTCTGGCTCCATTGACTTGTCTATACCCAGCTTTTCTAAGTAGTCCCTAACCTGTTATTTCACTACTGTTGGCTGCTCACCTTCTCCCAAACTGTGCTGCTTGGTGCAGTAGTCTGGGAGCTGACCTTGCCTGTGAAGACTGAGGCAAAAACGGCATTGAGTATTTCAGCCTTTTCTGCATCCTCTGTCACTAGGTTGCCTCCCCCATTCAGTAAGTGACCCACACTTTCCCCAGTTTTCCTCTTGTTACCAAAATACTTGTAGACACCCTTCTTGTTACCCTTCATGTCCCTTGCTAGCTGCAACTCCAATTGCACTTTGGCCTTCCTGACTTCATGCTGTTATACTCCTCCCTCGTTGTTTGTCCAAGTTTCCACTTCTTATAAGCTTCCTTTTTTATGATTTTAGTTTACTGGAGTTCTCTGCTAAGCTAAGCTGCTCTTCTGCCATACTTGCTAGTCTTCCTGAACATGGTTTGCTCCTGAACTGTTGGTAAGGTTTCTTTAAAAGTACAGCCAACTCTCCTGAACTCCTCTCCCCCTCAGACTGGCTTCCCAGGAGATCCTGCACATCAGTTCCCCGAACAAGTCGAAGTCCGCTTTTCTGAAGTCCAGGGTCCTTACTCTGCTGCTCTCCATCCTTCCTTTCCTTAGGATCCTGAACTCAATTGTCTCATGGTCTTGTGCTGCCCAACTTGCAATCCACTTAACTACATTCCCACCAATCCTTCCATTTGTGAGCAGCAGGTCAAGAAAAACACGGCCCTTAGTTGGCTACTCCAGCACTTACACCAGGAAGTTGTCCCCAATACTCTCCAAAAACTTCCTGGATGGCCTGTGCACTGCTGTATTGTCCTCCCAGCCGGTGTCAGGGTGATTAAAGTCCCCCATGAGAACCAAAGCCTGTGGTGTGGAAACTTCTGTAATAGTGGGCAGAGCAGCTGTTCCTGTGGTTCTGGTGGTGCTTTGCAGGGACCAGGGCTACCTGCCTTGTCCCCCGCCTCCCCCCGGGACATTCCCAATGTGCCTTGAACAGTCCTAGGGAGTCCTCCGGCTGCTCAAAGGGTGGGCGTCGGTGCCACGCTTGAGGAGTCCCAGCAGGATGCATGCAGGGCTGCCTAACCCCTCGCCACTGGGGCAGGCCACGGGCAACCAGGGCCCCCACCGTCATTGCTCATGGGGGGGTGGGGACAGAGATAGAGGACTGTGGGATGTTGGGATCCCTGCGACCCCAGGAACAGCATGATACAGGTCTTCGAGGCGGGACTAGGCAGTAACCTGCCCTCCAGAGTACTTGCTGGTTAGAAGAGCTAATTTTTGGGTGCACGAGCTGGTTTGCCCGTTCAAGAAGAACCCGCCCCCCCCGACAGCCTGTGCGTCATAAAGCCTGCTCCCGCGCCCCGCGAAGACCGCTGGACGCCTGCCCGCAGCCCGCGCCCGGCACCTCGCTTCCCGCAGCAGCTGGGGCGCGGCCGCTCCACCCCTCAACGTCACGATGGGGGCGGGGGCTTCGTGGTGCCG